ATTCATAAATATATTTTAAACACCCTGTAGCATTTAACTAAAATATATTAACATATATCTTCTTTTTAATCTCTATAGAACTTTCATACCAAATTTTGGAATTCCAACTTCAGAAACAATGGTACAACTGTCAATTTTTTACCACACTGCAATTTAACATTTGTATAAACAAATTTAAATATTACAAAAACCATTAATTTTAGGTATATAACATTATATATAAAAAAGTTATAGAATTTTACGCAGAATCTAAAAATAGGGTGTTGCCTTTAAAAAAACATATGTTATATCCGCCACACTTTTTTGAAGCACCCTGTATACTCTATAATAATTTTAAAATGTGTATCTTAATCTTCCCTATAACTTTTGTATGTAACATTTTTTTGTAAACCTCGAAACAAATGAGATAATGGACTTTACTCTATCGTTGACTCACCCTGTACAGTATGTCCCCAACAATGTATTGTCTTTACAAGGGGAAAAGTTTTTTTATAATTGACATTACGAGGAAAATACATTCTTCATAAAAAAATTTTGCTTGTTCTAAAATGGCTAATCCCGTTTATACTTTTGCAAATTTCCATACCGTTTTAGAGAAAATTAAAAAAAACATGAAATAAAGGTTGAATTTTTTCAAAGTCCTAAAATTCAAAAGGCGTTTCTATGGAAACATAATTTCGTTTTCATTCTTTGATAGACTGTTTATATAATTTTAATTAACGTCATGTTTTGCTGTTTTAAAATGTTACAGAAGCACAACATTTATTTAGTTCAATGCTACGGAAAGGGTGATAGTAGTTACCAGAAAATATGATACTTTAACAACAGCAAAAAATATGACATTAATCAAAATTAATAATAACCATCTATCAAACAATAAAATCGAAATTTTATTACAATAGAAACGCATTTTTATTTTTAGGAAAAAATTCAACCATATTCTCATGTTTTTATTAATTTTCTCTAAAATGGTATGGAAATTTGGAAAAATATAAACGGAATTAACGTTTAATAATTAACTTTATTTAATTAATGAAAAATGCACTTTTCTCAAAATGAAAATAATAAAAAAGTTTTTCCTCTTGCAAAGACAATCCGGGAACATACTGTATATTAGCGTTTACAAGTTCACCGTAAAAAAGATATTTTGATAGGCGGTTTTCTTGCATCCTGCATACGTGGCCAGCCCACCTTAAGCGGAATTTAGTAATTCTGACTTCAGTGCTCTCACAGCTAGCTTTTTCGAAGGCCGATAGGTTTGAGACATGGTTTTACCATTTGAGCATTTGATTCTTATCAGTTGTCTAAAGTGTCCCTGTTGCATTTTGTTTCATGCGGTCATGTGTCAGCAGGCAATAACAGGCAACCGGCCCGAATCCACAAAAACAAAATGACCATAACGAAGAAACATTTTTTATTTATTAATATACAGGGTGTCCCAGAAATAAGTGCAAGTATTTTAACTGGTAGTATCTATATTTCGGCCTCAGAAACACGCCTATGAGTTTTCTTTTTGCGAAAATTTGGAATTTTTTGAAAAAACTTTTGGAATTTTTTTTATTTTTAAGTTAAAAAACATAATTTCTTGATAATTTGGCAACATAGGTAGCAGTAGAACACACGAAAGAAAGAAATTACATGAAAGAAAATCCAGAAAACATCCAGAGGTTCCCAAAATTTAAGCAAAAAAGCATTTTTTGTTTAAATTTTCAAAGTAAAATAACTCGGTTATTTTGGACTTACTTGAAAAACGGTAAAGAGAAAAAATGTTTCTTTTGACCAAATCTACCCCCCTTAAAATACTTGCACTTATTTCTGGGACACCCTATATAAGTAAGGGTGATTTTCGCTCGGGCGAAAAAATCTCTTTTGCCTCCGATTTTTTAAAATTATTGAAATTGTCTCGATCAAAATTTTTATAAAGATCTATATTAGATCGGACATCTAAATTTTTACTACAAAATAGCTGAGTTTCACAGAGTTCTACTGTTTTATTTCCATTATCGATAACGGTAATTTGATCTTGAATATCCTACGATTTTCAATTACGCTTTTGAGAAACTTTAAGACTTCCTGATTCATTCAGTTCAGCTGGCCCAATCCTCTGTGAAATACATTATTTTTAGCTTATCAGGTATATACTTTCTTACACATTGTAGAAAGAAATTCTCTCTTTTCTGGTACAGCAGCGGCCTCGTCGTGTAAACGTGTTTTAATTTTTGGTATAATTCTCATCACGTAACTTTTACTCGTTTCTACATTTGGCATCTTGTATGATAATGCCATGACTCAAACGAAAAAAACCTAGGCAATACCTAGGCAGTGGATATAAATGTGTTCTGAGGTTACAGAAAAATGAAAAACTGATTTTTTTTTAAAATAAATCAATTTTTTAAAAAAATTTCATACTTTAATAACTCGGTTATTTTGGACTTATTTGAAACACGCCGGTAAATAGAATATATTATGTTTCTTTTATTCATATCTACCAGCGCTGAAAATATTTGCACAAAGCAGCACAAATAAAGTGCACTTATAGACTCGCCTTGTATAATAAAACATTTCAAACGGAACAACAAACAGATGTTTATTAAAATTATAAGGGTCTCAGAGAAAGACATCTAACAATAGTTTTTTTACAAATTGGTGTTTATGTTTAAAAGCAACTGACGATTATATTGATATAATTGATTAGTTAGTTAGGCAGTCACTAAGAATCTTAACGAAGATTAACCATTTAATTTTTGCTAAATCAATGTTTTTTTTGAGCTCTAATCGGGACCGGCCTACCGGCCCACCGGAAATTTTCCCGTTTTCCCATATGACCCATCCACTCCTGCGTGCCGGCGCACAGTAGTTCCCTCCCTTATAAAAATTTGGCCAAAACTCAATATATCGAATAAAATTATTTTGATCATATATGATCAAATATTTTATAATATATATTTAAAAACATGAAAGGTTTGTTATAAAAATATATTTTGGAAATCCATGCACTTTAGAGCACTTATGTGATAACATTTTATATGCAATAGTCTAAAAAAGCATATATAACTGTTTTTGTATCGACAATGAATAAATTACTCACTTAGTGTTTTCAAAATAATATTAAATAGTGCATTTTATAATTAGACCATACTGCACGTATACTTTCCTCATATAATATCAGTTTTTGACAGATAAAATGAAAAAAAAATAGTACTAACCATTTGAAAATATCAAAATTATATTGTACCTGTGAAATATATTTTATATACATAACTAAATCAAGGATATCGCAGCTGAACTAAGTAATTGTTTTTAACTTAAATGAAACTTCATAATGTCTTTTTTGAGAACCATGTCAAATTAGCTGCTAATATCTGCTATTCAGCATAAATTGTCTTGTAAACAAACGTCTTATATAAATGTTGCATGGTTTATAAATGTGCATTTAAAAAATTGAAATAGAGCATTTTAAATATTTCATTGTTAGCCACGCAATAAAAAATGACCGGTATAAGATAATGTGAGTTTTTCTTCACAAATGTATTCTATTTTCTTTGGCGTTAAGAAAATATTGGTAAAGTACAGGGTATTAACATAGTATAGCATTAGATATTAACAAATATAAATTAACCTCAGATTTTAACCAATTTTCGGATATACCTACTATTATTAATAAAAATTTTAATAAATAAGAAATTGCATGGTAACACCGCATAGTTTTTCAAATAAAAATAGTGACCTATATGCACAATTTTATGCTGAATCAAATTATGTACAGAAAAAAGGGAGTTATGATTTAAAAAAAAGCCCAGGATTTTATCATTACTTTGGGACACCCTTTATACAACAAAATATTTTTAGTATATGCACCTTAATAAAACATGCAAATATTTATATAATACTTTTTTCATATTTTCGTCTACGCAACGATGATATTGAACTTTCTCACACTTATGGGCCACCCTGTATCTTTATTAGCTTATCAACGATTTACCGCATATCTTCTAACCATTGTTCATTCTGTTTGTTGTTTTTTAATTTTTCCTAAATACCTTTATAAAGTAATACTTATTAATATTGGTAAATAAATTGCGCTTTTAAATTCTAATGAATCATCGTTACTTTACCTGTATAATTGAAAACGTCTAACGATAAAGAACTTTTTTTATATGTTTGGCAACTCCAAACGCCTAAATTATTTATAGATTTACTAAAAAATATTAACTGATACATTAATTTTCCCCGATATAATAATATACAGGTTTTGGCCACGTACGTCCATAAGAGCGAACCAGTGTGCGGCGCGGCGGTACGACGCGACACGCAGGTTTCGCTGCCATATAACATGATGGGGATTATGATTGCTCGGTACAGTGCAAGTTTCGTTTTTGTGCTCAAGTCATGATTGTAGAAAACACTGTCATTTAATTTCCAGAATACTCTTGAGGCGCTGCTGATTCTGTGCTGAATTTCAGAGTCGATATTTGCCGTTTCCGAAATCAAATTGCCGAATTGAATTCGGCTACATATTATAATCGTTCTTCACGGATTTTATAGCATTGTTATGATTTTCTGGCAAAGTGCACATGATTCTTGTTTTATCGATGTTCAACTTAAGGCCCAAAGCCTCGTATGCCCAGGTATATGTGTTCAGCATTTCTTGTACCTAATTGTTGTATCGCCTTTGCAACTAATCCGCTATCATCAGCATCTTGAATTTCTGTGATGAATTTTATACGTATTTTTGCCCTAAGTATTTTATGTAGAACAGACCGAGCGTAGATATAGAAAGAGATACACACCCAACAGTTTAATTGTGAGTAGGCAAAAGTCAAATAAACGAAGTCCAGATCTGTTTTATAGCTGATAAAAACTAGCATTAACTAACATGCGAACTTAAGTCAAAATTCGCTGAACCTTTGAATAAAAAGATTGGCAGAAACGGATACGCCATTGGTTAACACTATCATTTGCTCATTATCGTTATTAGTCTAAAATTATCCCCTATAAAGGTATTAAGTTCTAATCCAGACCAAAAGCAGGGGCTGTGGCATATCTTCTCTGCGCCGCCTGTATTCCCGCGCCGATTTCTACGATTGTTCGAAGACGGAGCGGACGGTGCGGCGTTCGTAGGGAAATTTGACGTACGGATTACAGATAAACTGATCGATATCAGTAACCAATCGTAAGTTACGGCCTAAAACATAAAGAGCCGCCGCCGGTGCTACAGCGGACAACAAGCGCGCAGAACCTCGGCGGTCGCGACTCATTCACAGGATTCACGGGATACGAAAGCAACTAGAGCTATACGAGGGTAGTGTAAAGAAATAATCTAGGAAGTATGCAGTATATTTCAAACTAATATCGGATCTAACATTGGATAGCCACCAACGCAAATATATGTCACTATATTCAGCACGTACTTTAAAAAGCGGTTTACCACAGCTTATATTTGTAATCAGCCTGGAAACTTAAGACCATTTCAATGGAAATCTGCAAGCTTACCTGGATATTCGCTTATCTTATCTTATCTCATCTTATAGAACACAAGTCGGATTCAGAACTCCATTGAAGCTACGTTTAAAAAAATCAAGATTGAAGCTCCTACTTGTATGTATTGGAGGCAGATGCCGAATTCGGCATATTATGTCCGAAATAATTAGACATATGGCGATTTGTCCATACTAAACTTGCCATACTATGCGTGCAACTTCGTGGTTATAAATAGTCTTTATATAACTTCTTTGCGGAGCGGGTTAATCTTTTTTAGTTATAATATAACAACAAAAGATTAACACCCTGCGCATAGAAGTTGAAACCAATGCAATCAAAACTCTTCCGCGTAACTTTGTCGATATTGGTAGGTATATTTAATTATAATATATATGTCTAATTATTTCGGACATAGGCCGAATTCGGCATCGGTACCTATACAGGGTGTTTCAAAACAAATGCGAAAAACTTCAGGGGGTGATTCCTTGTTAAAAATAAAGGGTAGTTTGCTTTATAAATGTTGGGTCAAAAGTCAACCATTATGGAGATATCGCGGAACAAAGATGGCGGAAAAATAATGTTTTTATTTTTATCTTGAAAACGAAAAAGCGATAGACTAATGAAATTTTATAGAAGCATTACTGTTATAAAACACACTTTCTGGTAATTTTTTACTTTTTTAAAATGAGTGGAAGGGTTGAAATAAACTACCCCTATCATTCTTGTTAACGAAATTTAAAGAAAAATCTTATCAAACACATGCAAGATGCATTAATTTGGATAGTTTAGTTGATTTAACTTTTTATCTCTTGTGTTTTTTGATAAAAGTCACCGATTTGAAATTAAAAATAAAATGTAAAGAATTACATGTCAGGACAAAAACATTTTTAGATAAAGAATCTAGTTGGCTGCTGTAATTTTCTTAGGAAAAAATCTAGTCGACCGCTGTCACTTTTTAGGATGTTTCTAATATTATTTAATTTGACATACTCTACTGCAATACGTTATTATCTTACGATCAATTAATTATTCCGAAGCCTTTTTTCTTTATCTAAAAATGTTTTCTACCCTGACATGTAATGCTTTACATTTTATTTTTTAATTTAAAATCGGTGAGTTTTATCAAAAAAACACAAGAGATAAAAAAGTTTCTAAATCAACTGAACTATCCAATTACTTTTTTGCATGTGTTTGATACGATTTTTCTTTAAATTTCGTTAACAAGAATGATAGGGGTCGTTTATTTCAACCCCTTCCACTCATTTTAAAAAAGTGAAAAAATTACCAGAAAGTGTGTTTTCATAACAGTAATGCTTCCATAAAATTTCATTAGTCTATCTCTTTTCGTTTTCAAGATAAAAAATAAAAACATTGTTTTTCCGCAATCTTTGTACTGCGATATCTCCCTAATGATTGACTTTTGACCCAACGTTTATAAAGCAAACTACCCTTTATTTTTAACAAGGAATCACCACCTGAAGTTTTTCGCATTTGTTCTGAAACACCCTGTATATAAGAGAATAGGCACAGTAGATGACGCGCGGACCCTCAAAAACAAGCGAAGATGCGTAAGAGCTATTACTGAATAAGCCGTGGTTTTAATGAACAATTTTATTCAAACCTGGCCCTGTAGAGCCACGCTAGACCATACAGGGTGGTCCCATTTTCGTGTGTTTTACGGAGTTTCTCTTATGAGCTGCAGTTTGCTTATGAGTTGAGTTGCATACAAAGATGCAGTTTACTATGCTACTTCTTTTTAGCCGACCATACCAACCAAGGTATGGTAGGCTATTTAGATCGGTAAAAAAAAGATTTTTTTAATTTCACTCAAAATGAGTTATTTGGGTGATAAATGACTTAAATACAAAATATTTTCATGGTGTCTGTCTGTCTGTTTGTCCGTCTGTCTGTAACACGATAACTCAAAAACCGCTAAACCGATTTTAACCAAATTTGGCACAAAAATACTGTGGCACCCGAGAATCTGGCCATTAGTAGTAACTAGCTAAACGCGGTTTTCAATTTAAGATTAGGAATAATATTTGCAACAAAATTTGTAATAACATCAAAATCAGTCAAAGTCGCAGTTTTTGAGATAATTGAAACTAAAAGAACTGCCTACCAACTATTTATTAACATATTTTAGTATGGGCGGCTATACGTGTCTCCCGGGGCCAATTTTTTAAACTAAAAATTCTACACGCATATTTGTCCTAGCCCTCTTAGTTCTTGAAATACAGGGCGAAAATTTCGCATTTTTCGACCCCCTTTGTATCTTGTTTATCTTATAAGTTATCGAAAAAGGAAAAAGTGAGTCCTATTGAGATTTTTACACAAAATCCAGTGGCGTAGCTAATTTTTTGCTGGGAGCTTATATCTCCGAAATATGAGTCAAACGTATGTTTCTTTACATACAGACATTCTGTATAAAGTAGTATAATTTTTATTACTGCAACAAAAAATGTAATTATAGTATATAGTAAATTGAAATACTTCAGTACAATATTTGGTTTTAAAACTTAAATCCGCCTATAGAAATGAAGCATTAAAATTATTATTACTGTATTTTAACAAAAATCTTAAAAAATATTTCATAAACGGTAAAATTAAAATGCGATAAACCTTAATCAAATTTACCTTTATTTAAATCGTAGAAACTAAAAATGTAATAATATACAGGGTGTTCCATTTAAAAAAATACAACTTTGATATTTTTTAATTTATTTGGAATACTCTGTATCTTGTAAAAATATTTTTAAATTGTAGCTCTAATAGACCTTCAACGAACCCAAAACTTACAATTTGCAACAATCACAATTGGTGAACAACCCTGCATAACGATTGAAGTAAAAAACAATTAAAAAATCTGAAAGAATTTTTAAAATGTTTTAAAACACGCTGTCAATCAGAGTTATTGATAATTTTGATGCACTTGTGCAATTCTACACACAGAAACTAGAGTGGAATGACCGCAATAACCAAAATTTGACGTCAACTTATTTGATTATTTTGGTTACCTAATTTAAACAAGACACCTATGTTAAAAAAGTTATATAATGCATTTTTACCTTGTTTATGGAAATAAGTATAGTAATAAACAAGAGAAATAAAATAAAAATATAATATACTATAAAATATGACCCATTTAAAAAAAACTAAGTTTGGGTCATACTTTAAGAATAACAGCTCGCAGTGAAAATCTAGTTGCGCCACTGAATTCTACGTGAAAAATTCTATGAGGCACAATTTTCATATTTTTGATAAGTTCTGAGATAACCGAGAAACGAAGCGGGTCAAAAAATGAAAAATGTTCAAATTCGCCCTGTTTTTTAGGAAGTAAGAGGTCTAGGACAAATCTGTGTATAGAATCTTTAGTTTCATAAAAAAAAGTAGCACAGGAATGTGAAAACCGCATATTTGTATCTCTTTGAATAAAACTTCTCTTCTCATAAACGAGAAACCCCGTAAAACACACGAAAATGGGACACCCTGTACATACGTAACATGATTTTTTTACATTTCGTCTTTTCACTAGACGTTTCTGCTATTCTCATCTCTGCATCTGTAATCTCAGCTTAGAGTGGCCCGTGTATGTATACCGAGTGTCTCTTAAAAGTTAGAATATACATAACATAAATTAGTATTGATTGATGTATTAAGTTATTTTCGGTCACTTCCTGTTTCACCGGAAATGACTACAACTCTTGATTTTTAAATGGTACCATCGGTATTTTTTTACTTTATTTGATAGAATGACATACCATAAGTCAATATTTCACATTTTCGCTTAAAAATAGTATTTTAAATTTCAATCTAGAGTGCAATGGCTGAGTACATAACCAGAATTTCAGTCGAAATAACGAGTATGTTGTAACATATTATTCATTAAAAAATGCTTTTCCTAATATGCTAATGTGCCACCCCGTTCCATTTCAGTTTATAGATTTTTAAAACAAAAACCGGAAATTTTAGTTTTTCCGCAATATTACAGGAAATTACAAAAATAAGTTCAATTACTAAACAGATTACCAGTGGGCTAACTAACAGGCAACTTTGTCCCAATTTAAGCCACCCCGTATCTCTTACCGTTTCCTATATCCCAATGGTGAGAGTAAAATTTGAAACACCCTGTATATTATCACTTCGACAAAAATATCAAATAATAAATTAGAAACATAAAAACTTCTTAGATTGCCCTCGTATATTAGGTACTAGCGTGTACCAGCGACTTCGTTCGCGTCGAATCAATCATTTGTAATGGTGATGATAAAGCAAAAGAATTTCCATTAACATACAAACTGGATAAAATTTTCTCACATTTATGTCAGCATGAGAAAAAAACAATATGGCGATATTATTATATAACTTGGTAATATTAGAGGGGTAGTTTCATCTCGTTGGAATTTGACTTTCGAAAAATCCGTTTGCCAAAAATAAGCTTTTTACGTCAAGCAGTTCAATCAATTACCCAACTTTTTGGAACATTCTTCCGAATAATAATAATAATAAAGCACTAAATAGATAAATTTCTGAAATGACAACTTCATTTGACAGTTATCTTTAACCTTGACTGGTGCTCATAAGTAAATACAGGGCCATAAGAAAGGAGAAATATTTAAAAAGAAATCGGCGATAAGTCGTAAATCAAAAATATCTAAAGTTATTCTTTTGAATGTGGGTTTTAATGCTCTTCAAT